ATTTTTAAGTAGTTCTTCTACAACACTTTTGGCAATTTTCTGCTTTTTCCCCAAAACCTCGAAAATAATTCTTTTTAAAGAAATCCACGCATCAATTACATCACTCACAAATCAACATCAATTACTCTTTCATCAAACTGTTGATGCCTTAGTATTTTTCTGATTTGTGGTCCAATAAATATCCCTTCTTTAAGCTTCGCGTCACTTAGCTTAGGAAAAATTTGTTTAAGGTATTTAAACGCATCTCTTTCTTTATCTAATGCTTTAACGAAATTTTTAATCAATCCCTGTTTAATATGTAACGGAGGTAACAGAACGTTTTTGCGATCAACGAGAGGTATATTCTTTACGTTCTTTACGTTAGCTTGACCTGGAATATACTGCTGTCTTGGTGGCCAATCTTTAACTTGGTACTGGCTCTGTGTTGCTCTACTGTCCCAAAGACAAAGAACACAGCAAGATTTTGTAAATCCTTCCTGAAGACCTAGTAATAATCCGATGACTTCATATTTGCCACTTATATGTATCATAGCTTACTGCATGCGCAAGAAGAATAGATGGTCTTTTGTTGCCATTATGGAGCAGAACTGCTTTTAAACTTGATTTAAAAGAATCTATAAACAAACGCCATTCTTCTGGGTTATGTGTAAATCCTAATTTTTCCATAACACTGGACTTAAATTTTCCACGTTTGGATTAACACAAACACACATTTTATCCTGCATAGTAAAAAACGAGGATAGCTTCTGGTTACGGTTCCTAAATATTGTAACTTTGGTTCCACTGGCTAGTAAATTCCATTGTTGTAATCGAGAACCTAGAAGTTCAGCATGTTCTTAGGACAAGTGAAGGTCTCGAACTAAATAATTTAATTCAGTTTGTTGGATGAAATGGGGTGCTTTATCATCGCTTTCGGGAAAATCGAAGAATCGTATAGATAATCGGGTTCACTTTTATCGTCATACATTTACAAATCTTCTTTCCAATTTTCCTGGGGTTCTGAAACTGGTAAATCTTCTCCATGAACAACCGGTTTTATTGCTGAGGGAATATCTGGATATTTAATTTTATGCTTGTTCTTTCTTGAAAACCCAGACACTTTTGCCATGCAGAAGTAACAGTCGTTAAAATTATTTGTTGGTTCGCGCGAAATAATCGGAACTGCAAATTACATAGAAAAGCGTTTACCATTTAACCAATTACTTAGATTTGCTGCACAGCTTTAGCAGCATATGTGAGGAGCTCAGTCCCGATCTTGATCGCCAACAACACATCCAAAATACTTATGATAAGCTACTTTTGTCATCTTATTAATTGTCCTTTCCTGCGATTTAGGAGTAAACTGACCACATACGTAGCAAAAATTATCCACGAGGTTAACACAACCACGTTTCTGGACTTTGGACATTTTTGTACTATCCCACACACTTAATTCAAAGATGTTCTTTACTAGCGCCAACTAACTTTATTCCACACACTTTCGCTTTTCGATGTAATACTACTATCCGTAGTAAACCAACACTGAGGGTGTGATTATCGGCAAGCTGCTTTTACAGCTGTTCCATACTTGTAGCATTTTATAGAAAATCGAAAGGTCGAGAAACAACGGCGAAATTCTCGTATACTATCGGCCATTTAAAAATAGATGCGGCTCGGGAGAAAAAAGAAATTTAATATATAGGTTTAAGTGGGTAGTAAATAGTGTGTTATTCGTAGACTTTAGACATCCCAGTGTTGCCAAATTAAGCATAATTTTTAGGAAAAACGTAAATTTGATAACATTTCACTCCGATATATTAGAAATGACTTTATTTTTTTTTTTATTAAAACACTTTTATGAAAAAATCATAACTCAAAAATCTTACGTGTTAGGAAGTTTTTATCATCATATTCATGTTCAGAGAGCCAAAATGAACAAAAAACACCATTTTGCTTTCGAGTCGAAAATTTGTTGTAAACTAGTGTTATTCATAAAGAAATTTTTCAATTCTTGCCAACTTTTTCAGACATGAAACGGAAAAACTTATACATAACAAGTCAACCTGAATAAATTCAATCAATCTCAATCATCATGGCTATTCTGACCTTCGAGGCAGCTGCTCTGAACAATTACCTCGAGCTGCAACCAAACCACTATCTCAGGTTCTTCAACCAAAAAACGCGTCTTCTTCCTACGCTTCTTCTACCCTTTATTTTTCCTTGAATTATGAGTCTCAAGATGTATCTTTCGCCTCTTATCACATGTCCGAGATATTACAATTTTCTTTCTTTTATTGTATTTTCCATTTCCCTCTCTCTGCCTATTCTCCTTCTGTATTCGTAACTCTATCTATCCATGGAATCCTTAACAATCTTTTAAATGTCCACATTTCAAACGCGTTAAGTCGATGAGTAAATATGAACCTTTTAAAAGGAGTAAATCGGTACTCACCAGAGGGACCGCAGACGTTCGGATACAATTAGCGTCTCTTTGTAAAGACAATGAAGTCGACTTTACTAAATTAACAAGACATTTACTCAACAAAGACACTACAAATTATTCCCTGAGTTAGTGATAAGTTATAGTCTAAAAAAATCATTATGAAATTGACTGGCCAGTTGGTTGTGAAAACTAGTGCCAATAAAACACAAAACACACACACATACAAAACGAGTATAAATATTACATCACATCGATATTATGTCCAATCTGTGTCACTACCACTGCCGTTTCTTAAATTGATGATAATATTTTGTATATTATGTGTAGGAAAATATGAATTCTCAGCTTTCATGATATGTGAGACTGCATTTTTTCAACTATTCTTATCAATGTTGAGTACTTCCCTTTCAATTAGATGAAGGACAGATGCATTTAAATGTGGCGAAGTATTATTTCTTCGAACTCTTGACTTAAGTTAATACCACTTTATGTTCGATTGGGTTAAATACACAGTAATATGGTGGAAGTCTTAAAATCGTATGACCTATAATTTCGGCATAATTATCACAAAAGTATTCTTTTTTCAATGTTAAACTTTTTAAAATGTCCAATAAATCCTTCTTAGTATTATTTATGTGAAAATAAATATCTTTGTCATATAAGTAATTCTGTATTGTTATTTTCGTATCGCTTGAACTGGGAATTTTATTTAATTGCCTGCTATATGTTGCATTGTTCATAACTATAACACTATTGGGGGGATGTTGGGTATTAACTTATTTTTAAACCAGTCTTCAAATACATCTGTAGTTGTGTTGTCATGGTAATCGAGACATGAATCACTTATATTTTTAGCTGATAGATATAATGCATTTGGAACCCATCCATCGACTGATCCAGCATGGAATATTGTTATTCTTTTCCCTCTATTAAAAGGCGTTTTTGTTGAACAAGATTTGACTATTATCTACCCAACCTGTAGATGGGGTATAGTGAGTATCAATCCACGCTTCATCTAAATAAATAATAACTCGATTCTCTCGACGATACTGTTTAATTTTATTTAAATATTCCGTTCGCCATATGCGTAAACGATAGGATTCCAAAGTACTTGTCTTTTATCTACTTTTTGTATTTTTACCCTATACGTTGCAAACACTTCCAAACAGTTGTTTTCCGGCATTTAATTTCAGTGTTGTCGACGTGAAGCCTGTCAACTAATATATCTAGTGTGGGTATAATTTGTTCTTCACACAAGGCATACACTTTGCGACGAATACTGTGGATAATGGCCGGTCCAGTCAATTTGACTAAATTAATATCTTCATAATTTTGGGCGCATTTTCTTCGTTGAGAGTTAAAATAATGATTAATAAAATAATACAATAATTATGGGAAATTTGTATGTTTATAAAGAGTTTTTTGAAATTACGCTTGAATAATATTTGACCTGATTATATGTACCAAGCTAAAGTTGACTTGGCTATATGCCGGTCCTGGCAGCTTGGGTAGTTGTGATAATTATACAATAGAGTATTTACAAGGGATTATTCAGTTTTACAGCTGTTATTAAAATAACTTTTATAATGAGACACTAAATTTCTGGATACAGTATACATCCAACTCCATTCTTATTCAGAATATTTCATGTAAGATGTCGACTTTTATATTAAAATGATGCAGCAACTGGTAGACTTTTATTTATACGGGTAGAATGACTTATTGTACATCTTAAAATCGAAAAACATGTGACTTGTCGGGTTTTACTGTCGACTGTCTTACTGTGACACAATATACATCTTATTGTAGGCTGATTAAATGACTTGATTGATTCCGACCAGTATCTGTTGGTATGTTACTAGGAAATGAAGCTGAAGCACTGGTGGAATTCATCTTCAGCAAGCTTAATGCCACATTTGTTTTAAAATCTATTTGGGTTGAGTTATAAAAAATATCTTTACATGTTGTTTACGATGTTATATAATATCCACGAGTTTACTAAGAACAGTATTTGTAAATAAAGACCACCACCAATTTTCTTTTTTATAGCAATCCTGTAATTAGCTACACCATTATTGTATAGAGCGACGACGTCTCTCATGTAGGAATTGTATTAACATATTACAAAGGGTTGTTTTACTTTCATTGGCCGTTTTTCAGTACTCTTGTAGCTTTTCGCTTTTTTTATAGGCTCTCCATAATGTGTACTTATCAAGGTACCGTCAGAATTATCGCACCATCTACAAAGAAAAATTATAGTTAAGGAAATATGAATATCCTCGTCAAAACAACTATCGCACGATTCTCTTTCTCTGTCTTCTGAAAATGCAATAATAAAAATATCTCGCTCAAAAAGAAAGTAAAAATTGGCAATTTTCAAGTTAACAAAAGTTTATTTTTTTATACAAAATTATTTATACGAAATGTGTAATTGTTTTGCAGTTTTATTTAGCATTGCGATTCACAAAAACATAAATATATCTTAGTAAGATTTTTTACTTACACACAAAAAAATAAAAACTATGGTGGTGCGTGTAAGCAACAATGGCAGTAATGGGTTAAATAAAACAAGATATTTCTATAAATTATATTAATACTTTCAGTGATTATAAGAACAAAGAAGCATTACGCAGATCAACTTATAAAAGTCATTATTAGTGAGAATTAGAAATTAACGCCGGTAGTATAAAAATAAGAGCTATTTTATCCCGATGCAGGTTGGCGTACATCGTCAATTTTCAATATCATTTTAACCAACTGGGTGGCCAACAAAAATTGTTGCCTCTTTGATCTGAGTGATTCGATAACATGTTGTTCTCTCATGTTGAGGTTTCCAGTATTCATACAATCGATACCGAGAGCTGGATCTCCTGTAGCTGCTTGTTTAGCCTAAAATCATAAAAAGTAGAGTTGAAACTGCAATGATAACATTAATATTAATAATAAATATAATAAAATTAAAAATTTAAATAGTGAATTTAAGATATTGATAGTGCAAAACTACCTTATTGTAATATACATACAAAATATTGATTTTTGTAAATTCTGAATATAGAGATAACAAGAAAATAAAACAAAATATTTTATTTTAAACAAAACTCAGAGTATTTTTAATATGCTTGGTCCGTCATTTTGAATATTGAAATTTGACTCTCAAGCATGTATATTTTTTTTGTCTACAGTATAACCTTCAGTCTTGGCTACATTTTCGACTGTTCAACACAATGGAACAATTCACTAGAAATAATGATCAGTGTTTTAATGTGTACTATTTGTCCAAATACGACTAACATATTTGGAACTGAAATCATTTATAATGTGTTTAAAAATTTATCTAATAATTGTAAACATATTTAATACACATATTAAGATAAGCAAATATGATCTCCATTCGCCTCACCTCACAATATGATCATTATCGCTTGTACTTATTTTATTATAATCATTTACCTTCACTTCTCCTAATGTATGGATGGCAGACAGTCCACTGTTATCAGCCAAAGCAAGTGGTATACTTTCTAAGGCCTCAGCAAATGCACGATAGGCGTACTGTTCCAAGGAAGCTAGTTGATCTGCTTGAGCCGCAACTGCCAAACTGCAGGCAATTTCTGCTGCTCCACCACCATACACTACTCTTGGTTCCTAAAAAACAACAACAGTAATATATAATAAAAGTATCAAGTTATGTCTAATTATTTTACAAATAAGACAAAGGCAAATAAGGCATTTGTTTCAACAAAGAACTACATTATTACAAGAACATTAAATTATACAAAGACTAGACAAGTCTAGTATTATATAATATCAATTTCTTACCTGAACTAAACTCCTGACAACACATAATGCATCATGGAGACTTCTCTTGGCTTCAGCTACTAACATTTGATTACCTCCTCTAACAAGAATTGTAACTGCCCGTGAATTTGAACATTCTTCAATGACCAACATTCTGTCTTTAGTGGTGCCAAATGCAATTTCCCGTACCAAACCAGCATTACCAAGTTTTTCCGGAGTAAGTTCTTCAAAACGGGGTACTATCCTACCGCCAGTAGCTATTGCTATAAGTTCAATTTCTGGACCTCCAACCTATAATAAAAAAATATTGATTTGATTTCATCATACAAGAAGATAATTGTATAATATAACTGGTCAATAATATAACGGCTAAACCAAATTTCTCCATGTTTCTTGAAGCATACCAATATTGATTCCTTTGACAGACATGTCTTGTATAAATGTGGGATATTACCTAAAGAGTTTATGAAGTTATACATAACAGGATATCCATTCAAATGTTATATGTTATATGTTATATACAGGACATACTGATTAAGCAAACAACATGTATTCTGATAAATAGAACCCTTATTGAATATTTTGTTAACCTTATTAATGATAACTAACCACAATCTAAATATTGTAAAAACTCTTTTTGGCCCCCAAATCAAATTATCGGCACCTTTGCATGCAACGAAAAAAATAATTTTATTGTTAATACATTTAAACATGTAACCTGGAATACTACATTGAATAAAATAATAATTCAATATAAGGTTGAATGCTCGAATAAATATACTTTGATGGTACACAAGGCAAATATCAAACACAGTAGTTAATCAAATCTTGCCCAAGTACTTTCGTTCACAATGCCCCTGAGGATGATCTTGTGATCGAAAGTACTTGGGCAAGATTTGATTAACTACTGTGTTCGATATTTGCTTTGTGTACCATCAAAGTTAAAATAATAATTATAGATTGGAAAAAAGTAAATTTTGTCATATACAAAACTTTTTAAAAAATATAAAAAGATAGGAAGTAAATAGCAATAAATACAACACAATTGGAATTACAGCAAGTATAAAAACAGCACAAAAAAGCTAACAATTTTTCAGTTATAGAAATTTGTAGACGCAAAAATTTTCATGTTTAAGTTATAAAATTATCGAAATAATAAAGTGTAAACTGGAGAAAATAGCAACAGAAAAATACACTTCTACTTAAAGTTCCTTCTCCTTGCAGTAAGTGCATACTTTTCCTATGTTTCTTCTCACCTAATTCTACCTTGCATAATGACCCTAAGCAGTCTCTTATTTTTCTCATCTACTTAAGTAATCCAAATAATCAATTTCCTTATTTTCATAAGACATTTATAAGATAATCAAAGATAATTTAAATTAGAAAAATTGAAATATCTGAGCGATATGAGAGATACAAATACAGGCCATACAATATAACTAGTAATTTAGGAGAAATCTCAGGGGGAATGATTGGATTGTATATTTTATGAACCGTTCAAAGCAGACCAGATATGAAAATCATTATGAATATAACCAATATTTCAAAAAGTTAAGGCAACAATAAAAGTGTTGTTCTCACAGTAATCAAATATTAACTCATAGAAAAAATACAAAATATGTACAAAAATAACTCAATTCCGGTTTTACGATTGGTCAAATTGCAACCATAATTGCAGCCAATGGTATTGTCCGAAATTGAGCATTAGCTGTCGTGCAAGCTCCAATGGCAGAGCGCCATGGAGCACTTGACCTACTTAATTTCACATAAGTATAGGTGCACGACAGCCAAAAGTTCGTTCTGGTCTGGACAGGGCTCCGCAGAACCAGCCTTATTGGCATTAGAGACCTTCTGGTTGATTTAGTTCCTAGAAACTGGTTTTTATTGCACATAACCGCTATCCTTTTATTTCAGGATTTTTTTCTAGCGAGACTTAGTCTAATTTATATTTAAATTGTATTTATTTCAGCATTTTTGACTTGGGATATTTCTCGTGAAATATTTATTTTCGAATTAAATGGTATTTTTGACTTAGTACAATTTCATATTATTCTTCTATTTTTCAGATATTTATCGAAGAGCTTTGGTAAGATATTTATTTCCGATTTAATAACTTAGAAGAATTTGCATTATCTGGTTATTTCTTTCAGGGTTTTTCTAAGTTCTTAAACGAAACCAGTACCAAGCTTTATTTGGTATTTTCAGGGAATTTCCCTTTTGGACTGAGAAATATTTTTGATATAAAAATAACTTTTTCTACATTTTTAGGTCTCACTGACTTAGAAAATTTTCAATAGTCGAAAATTTCCAATGACTTGCTTTGTGTCGATATTTCGTTACATGTGTTTGTTGATTCGTCCCGAAGTCACCACGACCAACACTTCTATCACATTTTGGACGAAATCAACTAGAAATTTCACCTTTTTTCGAAATTTTTGGGACTTTTTTCGAAATTTTTGGGACTTTTTTTTACTTCATTTTTACTTTTTTTGCTTAATTAGTCTTAGGTGTGATAACTAATAACTTTCTCTTACAGATTCTTAGTTCTAAGACTAATTAACACTTTTATTGCAGATTCTTAGGTTTAGTTAACATTTATTTGCATTTGCTTTAAAAAGGTATTTCCCTGTAGCTTGTGGGCGTATACGGCCTATATGTCCACGGACCGTGACCCTTACCTGCTCCGGTCCATTTCAGCTATGGATAGTGCGACTGGACCACCTTTCCTCATTCTCGAGAGTTCAGGCCAGCGACATGCCACGATAACTGATAATTCAGGTGGAATGAGAGAAAAACTTTTTTGATTGTACATCTAATGAACAGTTTAACGCAGTAGATGCGACGAAAATCATTATAAAGATAACCAATGTTAAAAAAAAAGGCAACAAGTGTGTGTTGTTCTTGACTCATGGAAAGTAATATGGTCTTTGCTATGTTACAACTTCTTAATACAATTATTTTAATCATTCAATCACTTTATTAATTACCAGGTATTTTTAAATAAACCGCAAAGCTGTAAGCCAAATACAAGTCTTATAAGAAAATATAGAGACAGTCATAAATTGTGTATAAGCTCAAAAACACAGCAACAAGAACAAAATTCGAACCATTCATACAATGTGTTCCTGTCACTAGGAACTACATTTTCCAAACAAATGATAATGAAGTTAGAGGTAATGGATTTTAAGAAGAGCTATGAGTCATGCCGATGCAGTACACAAGTTTACCTGATATTTAAAAGATCATAGCTCTTGTCAAAATCCAGTAGCTATACTTGTTTACCAAACATATTTGGATTATTTAATTCCTTATTGAGCCTACAACTGTTTTAGCAAAAGGATGAGGAGAAAGCTTACAGCAAAAAGTCTATGAAGATCTGGGAGGAAAAAGTAATGCAATTGAATGGTCTAAGACATGCTGTGTTTCATACACACAAAAGAGATACAAATATGTAAAAAAGCGTAGAGGCTTTAGTGGACCATATTCATCATACAGTCCTTTATGTACACTGCTGGACATGGGTCTCCCCTATTCTTCTCATTTGATCTAGCTCCTGAGCCGTTCTTAACGAAATGTCAGCATGCCATTTAAAGTCATAAGCCCAAGCCTGGAATATGTCCTGCATACTTCTATTTCAGTGTCACAATGACACTGCTTTGACATAGATTTTCATTTCATATTCTATCACTATGGGTAATACTTAATAGCTCTTGTTTTGTTAAAAGTCGCTAATGCTAACTTCTGCTCCATATGTGATAACAGGAAGCACACAGTGATTAAATACCTTTCTTTTCAAGCAGGAGGCTATGGGGATATCAGTCTGAAACACATCCCTTAGTGTTGTGGCCCAATGCTGCTATTTAATATGATATTTAACAGAGAGAATAATATACTATGCAGATGACTAATCACCAAGATTAAAGATGATCTCCAAAGATTAACGCACATTTTAATTCAACAAGAAAAAACTATAATATGATAATATCAGGAAAAAAAAATAAATGTATGACATCGAAATACCCACTACTACAACAATGATAATAGTCTGAACAATATCAAAAAAAAAGCCTACTAGATAAGAGAAGCGAGAACATAAGAATGATATGTAATGCAGATCAAAATACATGTTTACAAAACAGAAACAGAAGTGAAACGAACATATTAGCAGAATGGCAGAAGATAGTAAGGATACAATGATACAAATCACCAAATATTCGAAAAAGTGTTGAAAGACTAAGGAAAAGATGGTGTTATAATGTAAACAATACAAGAGGCTACAATCAAAGAAGAAACAGGTGTTAAGAGCATATATATATATATATATATATATATATATATATATATATATATATATATATATATATATATATAGCAAAACTGGTAAGATTATCGACCGAAACGTAAAAACAATTTATTGTGTTGGAATATCGGGTATGCGGTCTGTTATTATTAAAAAAAACTCTTTTTTCTTTTAATTCTCTATATTTCGCTGATTTTTTGTCAGCTTCATCAGGAGACAACTAAAAATTTGAATAAGAGTTATATAAATCAGTTTAAATAAAAAGTGACTCACTTACAGATTTAGAGTGGAAAGTATTTAAACAAGTTGTTGAACATAATTTGTTCAAAACAGTACTGACAGTTTTTGTTAAAAGTACCTAGGTCACTAGTAATTAAATGTAAAAATATAAAAACAGAGCAAACAAAAACAACGAAACAATGAAAACACAATAAAATTACACATTAAAAATATACAGGGTGATTTAAAATATAATTGTTAACAGAAAAATTATTTAGACATACTAAGAATATTACAGTAGATATTGCTCAACTGTCCCGTGTCTGCCTTGTAATTTACTGCATAGTTTTCTCTATTTATATGCCACATTTCCAAAAACAATCTTTTTTTGTAATTATTTTCTTGCTGTAAAACCCTGACATTTGAGTAATCAAATTGATGGCCAGTTTTTAAGTGATGGTCAATTGCCGCACATGTGTTCTTCCGTTTTGTGCAGTCACTTTTGTGTTGGGTGACCCTTTGTTTTAGCCATTGAGAAGTTTGGCCAACATAACAGCTCTGGCAATCCAAACAAGGCAGTTTGTAGATCACATTAGTTTTGTTTAAAGTTGGTGTCTTGTCTTTTACTTTAGAAAACAGTTGTCGGTTTTCTAATAAATTATATTGGACAATTTTTATGTTGGTAAATTGTTTAAATAAACTAGTCACAGAAGGTGTTAACTGTTTTATTAACGGTAGTTTTTTATATTGTGTTGTTTGTACTGCTCCGATA